CACACACACACACACACACACACACACACTAATATGACAAGATGATTATATCAATTGCATCACTTTAAGATCAACAGATATTCTTGTAATAAGATATATGCTTTTTGTAAATAAAACTATTCAAGTTTTATACATAATTCACAATATTAGTGATTAGAACAAAACTTCCACATGGGCACATTTTTTTCTTTAATTCTTCATTTTTCTCTATTTCATGGCACTGGAATGTCATTTGTAAGAAGAAGCTAATAAGAAGACAGCTTCTATGCAACCTTGCCAGAAAAATGTGATGGAAGAAGAAGATAATATTTAAAGAACTAAAGTAAGTAATGTATGGTAATTATGTAACAAATGAAAACAGATGATCTTAGCATACTTACAACATACTTGCCATAAGAGAAGCTTAGTTATCTGTAGAGAACAATCAAGTTTAGTAATAAATCAAAGCTGTACTAAACCTGCTACTGAAAAACAAAAGCTGTAAACTAAACAACACAAATTCCCCAATACCCGGCCATTTTTTCTATCTCTCTTTTAAAATGAAACAATCAAATTACATGACTTCTCTTCAACATAATTATAACTATTGCTTTTAGTTAATCACTTGTTTCTTAAATAAAGCCTTCTTGCAATATATTGTTAGCTGAATGTTTTATATATTTAGTCTTCTTTTGATGAAAGACTATTCTATATATACTTGACCCTTGAACAATGTGGGGCACCCTGTACAGTTGAAATGAACATATAACTTTTACCTCCCCCCAAAATTTAACTGTTAAGAGCCTACTGTTGACCTGAAGCCTTGCAATAATATAAACAATTAGCATATATTTTGTGTGTGATATGTATTGTATACTGTATTCATACAATAAAGTTAGCTAGAAAAATGTTATTAATAAAATCATAAAGAGAAATATATTTATTATTCATTAAATGGAAGTGGATTTTCACAGAGGTCATCATTCTTGTCGTCTTCCCTTTGAGTGATTTAGGAGGAAATAGAGAGATTGGTTTTGTAGTCCCAGGCATGGCAAAGGCAGAAGAAGTGGAGGTAGAGGAGATGAAAAGAAAGGCAGGAGAGGCAGGCACATTTGGTGTAACTTTGCAGAAATATAGCATAAATTTTGTCTGATTTTTCCTTGTTTTTCTTAAAATGTTTCTATACAGTGCCATTCTTTCTTCCATCATTTGCTTTAGTTTCAGTACCTGTATCATGTCCATGTCACTAAAAAAGTCTATGTCATAAAAAAAGTCAAAAGTGCTCTTGAATTAGAACTCTCCTGTCAGATTGTCTAATGTCAATTTGTTTTCTGACACTGTTTCTTCTACCTCTTCTTCCTATCATCTGGCACTTGTTGGGAAGCACTCATCTTTATAGCATCAACTTCCGTTAATTCTCTGGGGTGGTCTATTAAATCTTAAATTTCTTCAACATGCATGTCTTGGAATCCTTCACCCTTTACCTTTTTTGTTAAATCCACAATCTGTTTCATGGTTTCCTTGATCGGTTTTATTGTAACCCTTTAAAATCATGGACTACATCAGGACACAGTTTTCTCCAGTAGGAATGTATCATTCTGGGTTTGATGGCTTTCACAGTTTTTTTCTATCATAACAGCGAAATCTTCAATAGTATAATCTTCTAGACTTTCATGAAGTTCTGTCAGGGTTCTCTTCCAAACATTAATAATCCTTTCTATGGAGTACTATGTGGAATGTGCCTTAGAGGTTTTTTATGATCCCCTGATCAAAAGGCTGAATTAGAGATGTATTTGGGGACTGGTAGTCCACTTCGACGTCTTTGGTACTGAACTCATGGGGTCTGGGTGACCAAAGGCATTGTCTGATAGCAAAGAACTTTAAAAGGTAGTCCTTTACTCATAATGTACTTTCCAACTTCAGAGACAGAGCATCAGTGGAACCCGTCCAGAAAAAAGGGTTTTCATTGTCCAGGCCTTCTTGTTATACAATCAAAATATTGGCAACCAGTGTTGATTTTTTTTTTTTTGCCTTCAATGCTGTGAGGTTAGCTGCTTTATAGAAAAAGACAGTCCTGATCATAACCTGACGTCATGTGCACAAAACAGCGTTAGCCTCTCCCTTCCTGCCTTAAATCTTAGTGCTCACTTCTCTTCCTTACTAATAAAGATCCTTTTTTCTCTGGAATAGATACTTTTGTCTGCATTAAAACACCTGTCCAGGCAGATATCCTTTCTTTTGACTGTTTTTCTTAACAGAATCTGGAAATTCATCTGCTGCTTCTTATTCAGAGAAGTTGCTTCTCCTATTATCTTTATATTTTTAATGCCAATTCTCTTTCCAAAATT